TTACCCCCCCCTCTCACTCTCCATGTTCGTCTTAACATGGTAGCGATGCTGCGCGTCGACCCATCTCCCGAATTCTCGTGCTGTGGTGCTGCGATTGGGAAATAGCGCAGATCCAGGCGCGATGCCAGCTTTGAGCTTGACCAACTAAGCTTAACTACAGGTAGAGCAGGGCAGAGAGAGGAGCCGAGCTGATTAAGGCACGGTCCGCGATAAAAAGCTAGGTGATTTTGCAGAAATGTGGAAGAAAATTTGCCAAGTGAACCATCTATGAAGAGAAAATGCCAAAGGGAACGTTGGAAACGCATTCGTCAGGCCTCCTCTAGCCTCAAACAACTGTAGAGGTAAAAGACCGAAAAGGCGCGCTGGGACAATTCCCGTCGGCTGATTCCCAGTAATGAACCCTATGACTCTACAAGAGACATTGAATGCATCCACTCCATGATACTTGCCCGGGAGCATTACTTTTGGCTGGAAGGCCGACTTTGGAGGCGGAGTCACTGGAAAAAGGGATGTACCACTGAAGCATCTCTTTACCGTACAACTTTCCGCCGCGAAACTGGCACAGGGTTGTCCACTCCGGACCGCACTACCTTCCACAAACCTCTTGCATTTTCATAAAGGTGGCATTTGTGTTACTATTCATTGTTAACCTTGATTCGGTTTACAAATATCACTCTGGTAAAGACTTGTGAAATCTTGTGAAGCTGGAGCAAGATGTTAGACCACATCACACGTGTCAGTCTAAAAAGGCTATTAGATAGGGTGCAATCATTATGGAAGCAAGATCCTCATTTTCATAGGTCATCGCGGACGGCTCCTTTAAGCCCCTCTCAACACTGCGCCGACTGATTGGTACGTTATCAATAGATGTAAGACCGATGCTCTCAGTGCTTATCCTTGTACTCGTCACTGGAGAACAGAGCACTCACCAGCGAACGTGACGAGCAAATCGAAGAGCTTTCATCACTGTCGCTGCTTTCTTCACTCGCAGGGCCTGGAACTCAGAATCGGAACCAGAAGCATTGGCCCTCACTATGAGAACCTACCTCCAAGGCAGAAGAACATGAAAGAGAGGTAGATCCCACAAAACTGAATGTACATGAGCAAGATTGCTAACATCAAAATCTGAAAATCTCAGTCACGCATAATGGCGACAAACTTCTCTGTAATTTGTCAAGTCAAGCATTAATCATACATTGGTAATAAGCTGATTCATATTCCAGTAAAATAGGCACATTCTGTTACAGCTGTCATATTTTTCACCTCGGAAATCATTATGTTTCTGTGAAAGCACGATCCACCATTGTCTGTGTAGGTTTTTCCATGTAGGAGATAACCAGCTCGCTGCCCCATATGTAGGGTTTTCCATTTGTTTCCTCGTTTAGAATAGGGTGATACTGACGCAAAATGCTCACGTCGTGGTCAGTGCTCCACCCACTGGGCAACGCCACCTCCTGAGTTCATTTCTGAAGACTGTTTGGTGGCGTGGTTTTCGCACTATCACCCTTTCCGTCTCGAACAGTGAGTTTCGTGACGGTTTTGTACCTTTCTCTACGCTCTGCAGTCATCTATTCTGTTTGACTAGTACGTACTTAGGCAAAACCGCCGGCCAGAGCAGTCTGCGGCGGGTAACGGCAGCCTCACATCCGACGGAGAAATAGCTAGGGTAACTGTTCATGTCATGTGGAAAAAAAAGCCAGAACAACAGTCTTGAATCGAGTTCCCCAAAATAGGACCCCATGCCGACCCCAACTTGTACGTGCGTGCGAAGAAGAAGGCGCGTGTTTGTAGGAATTTCCGCTCACCGTTATCGTGACCATAAAATAGCACTTTTGCCTCATCACCTCCCTCTCACCATTTAGACATAAAGATTGCATTTAGTGGGCTTTTAAGTAGTAGCGACACATGGGCGTCGGCACTGCGGCCTAAGGGGGCTCATGGCCTGAGTGTCAGTACCAATCGATTCTTACATTTCAGTTTTTGACGTTAGCGCAGCCTCTAGAACCGCCTTCCAGATCGTCTGACCCTCTCTAAGAGGTCATAGCCTTATTTTATCGCAAAAGTGCCTTTAAAGTTCTGGCATCTCACTTCCTGTATGCTCTTTATACATACTCACAGAGGGGGCCTCAGTTCCTCGTCCCCCCTGGGACATTAGCCTCCCCAGTTCTTCTCTAAAGGCAAATCCGCGCATCCTTCCGCTCATCTAAGATAAGTGGATTAGGCAGGTTTGCTATTCTAGCATACAGGCAAGTTCGTGCTGAATAACTCGATGTGAAGAAAAAAGCAGAAAACATATTCATTCTCCCTATGATAAAAAACCCCCATCGTGTCACAAATAAATGGACGTATCGGGTCACAGATTGTACGTGCCCTATCAACCATCTCCAACACTGCGCCGTATAAGAACTCTACGACCGTACAAGTGACGATTTTCATGCTTTTTCGTCCTGCAGCTTCGTTTTCACTGAAAGGCGGGCCTTGAAGGCGGAGTCTGGAGGCGGAGTCACTGGAAAAAAGGAGGCGTCACTGAACCTATATTGCGCTATAGCGCCCTCCCTACAATTTTTTGCCGCGAAACCGGTACAAGGTTGTTCGTCGCGGACCACACTACCCTCCCGACGCCATATTTTGAACTTCCATAAATGATCGCGGACCGTGCCTTTGATTGCCTCGATGGTGGTACTCTTTAGGAGCATAAGCTATGCAGATTCACAACCGAATACGGACAGCTACTCTCACCACGCGAACGTGCGTGGAAGGAATCCAGAGACTTGCAACCGCGTGGTATCCCAGCCCTTAGCAGGCATACGCCTCCTTGAAAAGAGCGACCGTTGTGTGGTGTTGTGGTCGCACTTCACGCTTTCTTAATGTGTGAAGTTATGTGACTCTCGATCGGGTGTCACTATCTTCACTCTTCGTTTCATATCGCGTCCTTCAGTGCCGAGAATCAACCGCAGGGGCACTCCATTTTGGTCTTTTTTGACGGCGTTTTTTGCTTTTTGGTAGGCCAGTGAGCCAACTAACAACTGCAATATCTTAGTTGGGCTTTAATACCCATGACCTGTGTTTTGTGCCTTCAAAGCCATGTTCCGCGTTTGGGGGTGTCAACTCGTGTTCCCTGGACATGATAGTATTGTGACAAGCGCAGAGGATGTATCAGTTTGGAGGCTAGAAAATGAGTGACAACGCCTCATATAATCATGGCGGAAGCCATGTAACGCTCATTGTCTTACAAGTTAGCTGCGCACCCTATCGCATGCATCGCACGGGGCCCGACAGAGGCCTATTGCCGGCTGCCTGCTCCCGTTTTCCTTCAGTTTTATTGC